GAGGAAGTGGGAAGGATAGGGGAAAGGAGTCCCCGAGGCGCCCCCAGACCCCGACGGCGCGGGCCGCCGCTCGTCCGCGTTGTGGATGAAGTGGCAGCGTGGCCCGTACGGGCAGAAGCCGATGGTGTGGAAGGTGCGGCACAGCTCCGTCTTGTACTTGGGATGCCGCGTGAGGCTGCGCAGCTCGTGGAAGCCGTGCGCGAACTGGCACTTCTCTCCGTACTTGCACGTGCCGTTCTCCTCGAAGGGCCGGCACAGCTCGGTCTTGTAACGCGTGGAGTTGATCTGCGAGCCGCCGCCCTTCTGCTGCTGCAGGTGCAGAAGGTGCTGGCTCCGCTCGCCGTTCTCACTGAACGAGCGGTCCCGGAACTTATTCTCCTTGTTGAGCAGCGCCGTGCTGCCGCCCCCCGACGGCGGCTCCTTGAGGGGCGCATAGGGGCCCGCGCCTCCAGCCGCGGCACCCGGGAACTTGGGCGAGCAGCTACCGGGGCTGGGCGCGGGCTGGGCGAGCGCGTGCAGGTTGCTGGCCGAGTGCCGTCGGAGGAAGCCCGGCGCGAAGGTCGAGCCGGGGGCCGTGGCCACGGGGGTCCCCACTGCCTTCTTGTCCAGCATGGTGTTCAGATTGAGGTTGGCCAGAGACTTCTCTGTCTGCCAAGTGGAGGGGAGCCGGGAAGAGATCAAAATCAGGAGGGGAAGGGAGTTGGGGTGAGCTCTGGAGCAACTTTCCAGCTTTCTGATCTCCCTTCTCTTTTATTCTTCACTTTTTCTGCGGATTTCGAATTAGCCTCCACCCATACAGGCACGCTCCAGAGTGGCAAGCTGGCGCTGGGAGGGGCGGGAGAGCGGAGGACGCCCACCGTGCCGCGCTGGTGCCGACATGTGATCCGCGGCCTGCGCCCGGGAGAGCCAGGCCTCATGCTTTGTTCCCCGCTCTTTCAGACAGTAAGCCACAAGGTGAAGGATGTTGGGGTGATGAAAGAGGCGATGCATTTCTGCTTAGCCGTTCTCTCTTCCCTTCCGCCCTTCCGCCCTCCCTGCTCCTCCCCGCCCACTAGGCGCTAGCACACACTACTGCAAACTCGAGGATTTTTCCCGGCCTGGTAAGTCAAGGAGGGAGGGGTCCCTCTAAGCCGAGGGCAGCAAGCGAAGTCTGGAAGCTCGAAGGGGTTCTGCCCGCCCGCCTCCCTCCCCGCTTCCCCGCCTACCTTGTACAAGAAGTCGAAGTCGTAGAAGGCCGATAGAAGTGTGGTCGACATGTTTCTGGGTCCTGTAAAGGTCGGAGCTGCAGGTAGGGAGGTTGGGAGGAGCCCTCGGGGCGGCGCGGCCGAGCTCGAGCCACGACGAATAACGGGCGAGGGACAGGAAGGGAACGAAAGTTTGCTGGGGGGCGAGGAGAGAGAGCGGGAAGCAGCGTGGATAGGGCAGAGGGTGCCCTGGAGTGCGGAGCGGGGGGAGAAGGAGAGGAAGCGACGAGCGCTCTCGGGCGCTCCGCTGTGCCGGGGAGGAGCCCTCGGGGCGGCGCGGCCGAGCTCGAGCCACGACGAATAACGGGCGAGGGACAGGAAGGGAACGAAAGTTTGCTGGGGGGCGAGGAGAGAGAGCGGGAAGCAGCGTGGATAGGGCAGAGGGTGCCCTGGAGTGCGGAGCGGGGGGAGAAGGAGAGGAAGCGACGAGCGCTCTCGGGCGCTCCGCTGTGCCGCGCCGCCCCCCCGCGCGGAGACTAGGGCGGCGTGGAGAGCAGGGCCCAGTTGGGTGGCGGCGGGGATGGAGCGCTTTCCTCTGCTTCTGGGGCTGCGGTGTTGGAAAGCCCCAGCGCGTTCAGCGCAGCCGAGGTTCTGCAACCCTGGACTTGTCTTTCCCCGCCTGATCCTGCCAGGCGGACAGGCTTAGCTTTTATCTCCCACCCTCGGTTTTGTACTGGGCGCGGGAATTGCAAAATGCAAGCATATCGCAACCGTCCGCGTTGCTGGGATGGTTGGCAAAGGGTGATCCGAATGGACTCAGGGCTGGGGCTCCGGCCGCGCTGCACGTGGAGGCGCGGTGGGGGCGGGGCGGCCACGCGGGCGGCAGTCTCCCCGGAGGAGTCCGGGCCGTGTCTCCGCCCACCTCCCCCGCCCAGGCTCGGTAAACAGGGCTCCAGCGCCGGGCCCTGCCGGGCAGGGCCGAGAGTCTGAGGACAAGGCGCTGGCTTTGCTAATCACATCACAAGACCTTGAGCCCGAGCCAAAGGCGCGGAGTGGCCCGGGGCGTCCGGGGCTGGGGAGCCGACCAGGAGGACGGGAGGAAAGCGGGGAGATTTGTGCAGGCATGGGGGTGACTTACTTCACCCTTTACGTTTGACTATCGGCCGGACTTTTCCAATCCTCCTGGGGTTCGGGTGCAGCTGCCGGCCAAGGCTTCCCGCCTAGCGCAGCCGTGCCCTATTTTACCCTCTAGGCCCCTGGCCGTGGGGGTGTGTGTGGGGAAATGAGCCCTTACCGCTATCGGTGCTGACTGCAGAATCCCGCTGAGGCGGCCCGGAACGCTCGCGGGGCGCGGGGCGCGGGGGTGGTGGTGGTGGCGGCGGCGGCTTCAGTTGCCTATCATTCTCACACCTTAACAGCTTGCCCTGGGCAACTTTGCTAACTTGCGCCCTGCTCGCGTTTGGGGACAGGGAAGACACCCCCACTTAGCGCCCAGTAAGGCTAAAGCTGCAGACAGCCCCTCTCTGGAGTCTGGTCCTAGGCATTTTTCGCTCCGAGTCATTACTGCCTGCCAAAAAGCTGGAAATGGGCCCAAGTTTTCACCCAGCTGGCAGCGCAGGCCGCCAAAGCGGAAAACACCAAGACCTGCCAGGGAAGGAAGCTTGATCCATACGGCCTTCCCATTCGAATTTTGCTGTCTGCTTGCACTCAGCCCATTTGGGGCTCGTTCCCTCTGTCTGGTAACCTGGAAGGACATCGCTCAGGGAACAGCTAGCTGCCTTGGAGGACAGCGTGCACTTCTCACTGCTGTATTCCCCTACTGCCCAGGGCAGGGCTGGGAGGACTTCAGGGTCGGCAATGTTGGGCTAGAGTTCAGGCCCTGCCCCGGACAAGTCATGTGACCTGGAGCAGATCACATAATGTCTGTGGTACCTGGGTTTCCTTACTTGTAAAAATAGAGAATAACATTCTTGTTTTACTCATCCCACACCTTTCTCAAGGTGCAAATGAGATACCAGGAAGGTGTAGTACAGAGCCAGGGGCCACACAATCTTGGACGCTACAGCTTGAAGCTAAGAGTAGCTAGTGACCCTCAGGAAAAATGACTATTTCACTCTTCCACCCAGCTTGCTCTGGCCCCTAGACAGGGCTGGGCAGCTGTGGCTAACACAGCTGTTTTACTTGTTGATGTGACCCCAAACACGAGAGCTTGAGGCCCTGAGGGGACTGACTTTGAGGTTTCCCTGAAGAATGCATTAGGAAAGTGTGAAGAGGGCGTTTCCTAATAGCCAGTGCTATTAGGTTAGTAGCAAGATTTTAGATACAAAACCGGTAGAAACATCTGTTTTTCCTGCCCTCCTGGACTAGCCACAGCCAGCGAAGATCAAAATCAGGCAATCCCCAGTCAACAGTCACAGAACACCCACTTTGTAGACTCGGTAGAAGGATCCCCGAGAGAACATGTAAACATGTTCTGGTACATGCTTTGGGACACAGTAGGGACATAGTATCTGCTAGTGTAAAATACTTTCATGTAACTGCTTTATGTGAGGAAAAGGGGAACACTGGCCTTTTCCAGTGTGCTGAGCTTTGTTTGCCCCTGTTCAGAATTAGTCTCTGTGGTTATCACCACGTTACACACCAATCCCTAACTTCATCCTTGCTAGAAGAACACAGACATGTTAGGCTGGCAACTTTCCATCAGGTGTGGGCTACACATATGCCTGACTAAGTACTTAATTCAGGATCACAAAAACCACATTTGGGGCTGAAAGGTTGCAGAACCATCCAGGGAATTTCTGTTCTCTTTAGGATGAAACTTTGGACACTGATTTAACTTCTCTCCTCCATCTTCCCACAGATCTTTTTCTATATGTCCAGCATGGCCATATTTTAGTATTAAGTCATTGTCTCTCAGAAAGACAAATTTGAAATTTCAGCTTTTCTACAGTAGGAAATGCCATATCAAATTCTCTCCTCTCTAACTTCTGCCTTCACATCTTCAAACAAAATAACTTCAGTGACTATTCACCTGTGAAGCATTTAAAATATTTACATATTCTACAAGTTTACTGTAAGTCCTTTTCAGATGACTAGGATAAAAAATGTGGATGATTACAACCCATTCAAGCTATGAATTTCAAGGTAGCTATGGGTAACACCTTGAGTGTACAGTATAAATTAAAAATAGTGTCACTTAACTACAAGACTAGAAGCAAAACATATACAAGAATGCCACCTGCTGGCTGTCTAGGGAAGAGGGCTGGGCTGGGTTTGGAAATGGCAGAAAGTTTCTAGATTAAATCACTGAAACGTATAAATGTATTTAATGGCATCTTAAGAATCTTCTTACTGTCACCAAGCACATGATGTTAAAGCACATGCATAAAATGAATAATATCTGTCTCTCCTTTCTCCAGGTTCCTTCTAACAGCTAAGAGACTGTGCTTCACGGGTGGCGAAATCATTCGTAGCATTACCATGTATTTTTGAGGGAGGGAGATAAGAGCAACTCTCAGTGGTGCTTTTAATATTAGGATGGAATGTGTAGGCCACTGAAGGACTTACACATACAGACAATAAAAATAAATTATTTGCACGAGGTTGATCCTTCTTTAATTCTCCCAGGATCCAACATTTGGAATATATTTCTGCTTTACTAAAATGAAATTTAAAAATCTGACTAAATGGGTGTCTGCCAACTAATCTAGCCCCTCCACATAGCTAGTAAAAAAAATAGGGGATATGTGTGTTACAATCTATTTTTGTGTAGTCAAGTTACAGAAAATGCTGGGCAGAAAGGGTAACTCAGGCCTGCAGGTGGCCTGCACCTGGGGATGGAGTAATTATTCAACATGGTAGCCTCACTTCCTACAGTAGCTGCAATAAACCCTGCTGCCTTGAATGAATGAACTGTAGAAAAATCCCTCTGTAGGAAGTAACAGGAGCCGAGACTCACAGAAGGAGAGGCACAAGGGAGAAAAAAATCTGAATTTATGTTTGATGTGTTCCTTGCAGATTTAGTGGAGTAACAGCCCACTTCTCCACTCCCCACCCCACCAACCTTTCTTTAACAAGTTGCTTCAATTCTTGGGAGAGTTAAGTGACTTGTTTCTGCAGGAGAGTCTGAGATGCTGAGAACAGGGGAGCTGCTTCTTCTTTTCCCTCAAGAAAGTTCAGCAGCCTCAAGCAAGCTGACGTCCTTTCCTCTTGAATGCGCAGTCTTGTGAACTGCACTGTCTTCAGAAACTCAGCAGCGGGTGGAAGCTCTCTGAAGAGCTGAGAGAGGAGATGTTGCTGTTCTGACACGGTCCTCTGCAGGTGACCTAGCCTCTCAGAGCTAGGAGGACGCCAGCCTGACTTGCAGAGAAGATGCAGGACTTGCCTATAGAGGTGTTTCAGGAAGGTCAGGGTCTCTGCCCAAAAGCTGACTTCTGATTTTTCAAACAGGTAGTCATCTTCTCCCTGCACCAAAGGAAAAGGCCTGAAATCAGCCTTCAGGATGCTGACAAGCCCCAGGCTGAGGCCTGCTCCCTCTGCCACTTGACACAAGGCCCACTTCCGCCTGTCAGCACCAGACAGCCTTGAAGGTCACTTTCTATTTTCACTCTTTGCACTTCTCCATCAGAGAGGAATTTCCCCCCAGACTCACATGACCTTTGATAAAGATGTACTTGTAGCTCAAAGCCAAGATATCTTGAGGGCCTGATGTTGAAAAGGGGACCTTGAGAAGAGAAGTGGGCCCTAGACCTTAAGGTGAATCCAGAAATCAGAGGGGAAGGAGGAAGGGAAATCTCAGCAGTGGACCAAAAAGCAAAGAATCACCAAACACCAGACACTGACCTCTGAGCATAGGACCCGATTTCTACCGCCCTGTGGATTTTCAAGGTCATTTTATCATCAGCTCTTTATCACATCTCTGTATTTGCTGTAAATAGGCTGCTTTTTGAACTCTTGGCTTGCAGGGAATGCCAAGACAGCCAGCTGAGTCAGATACTGGTGGCTATGGGTTTCTGTTCTCAGGATGCTTTTGTTTTATGTCTTGGTCTTCAGTTTCCCTATCTGTGTCTGCTCCCCCTGGAGGTGAATAATTTTCTCCAAGCAGTGAGCTTCCCGGAAGGACTCTCATCTCTGGAAATGCTTTACCCTCAGATCTAACTGTAACTGCAAGGCCAACTAACAGGCATTCTTCATAATTACACTCTTTCTTGCTTTTGTCTTGTTTTTTGAACCAGGGATCAAACTGGGGTCCTTGCGCTTGCGAGGCAGGCAGTGGAACCACTGAACTAAATCCCTGGCCCTGTCTTTGGATTTTTGAGACAGGTCTTGCTATGTAGTTCAGGCTGGCCTTGAACTCACTATGTATCCCGGCTTGCCTCCAGCTTGTGGAGATCCTCCTGTTTCAGTCTCCCAAGCTGGGATCACACTCTTGATATCCAAGGAGCTCTTTCAAAGCACCTTCCCCCATGACCTGAAGGCTTGCCCCTGGAGCCCCCAAAAGTGAGCATGAGAGTTTCCCCAGTGCCCATGGCAGAGCCCAGCAGGCAGCTCTTCAGACAAGAACTTCCAGAAGCATGCTTCCAGCAGCTGCACTCAGCCAGTAAGCACTGTAGCATCCTGGCTGCCTCTCTGTGCCCTAACTCCCTGGATTACCTGATGTGCACTCTCCACATAGCCCACAGGGTCATCGCCTTCTCCCAACAGCCATTCCAGCAGGATGGGCAATCCAGGGTCCAGCTGGTCCCACTGCTGGAGCAGATCACACAGGATAGCCAAGGCTAGGGCCACAGCAATGGAGGCATCCACTTGGCAGAAGGCGAATTCTGCAGACAGGAGAGGGGCAAACAATGAATACACTCTTTAGGGGGAAATTTCTGCCACCAGGTGGGCAGGAGAGCAGGTGGAACGGCTCACTGAAGGCTATGAATACTCTTCTGTGTCCTGCTGTCTACACTGCTAGAATGAGTTGTAGGCCTGAGCCCCACCCCACCACTGCCTCCCCAGAGTGAGCAATAGCAGCTCCACCTGTGGGACTACAGTTCTCTCTTTAGTGTAACTGGAAGAGGACCCCCCGCCCTGCAGCATCTCTTTCACAGCCCTCCACAAGGTCTGGATCTGCTGGTTTCTTTCTGGGTACACACATGTCCCATCTCTGTCATCTTGGAGCAGGGCAGCATACTTTTCCTCGACAGACCACAGAGTACTTAATTCAAACTGTGTAGGCCCTAAGTCCCTGTCACAACTTGTAAACTCTGCTGACAGCAGCCATAGACAGTATGTAAACAAAATGGTTGTGGCTATGTTCCAAAAGATCTTTATGGATATTGAAACCCGAACTTCATGGATCACAAAACACCACTGATCTTTTTCAACCACTGAAAAATGCAAGCACCACTTGTAGCTCATGGCCGTCCAGAAGCAGAGGTGGGTTGGATTTTGCTCATACTTTGCTGTCCTCTGTCTTGAATGAATTGGCTTTTATAGACCCTTGACATCCTGGCTGCCTGAGGGTGGGTGGAGGAAAGGAAAGCGGGGTATAGAAAGAGGAAGTGGGGTGCCTTGGAGAAACCACTGCTTGCTACACTGTTTGGCCTTAGACAGTCCTAGATATGGAGCGGTACGGGGTTCAGGGTGTTAACACTTCTGTCAACAGCTCTGCCCCTCCCACCCCAATCTGCAGAAGACATGGAACTCAGGACTTAATCCCCACTCTGACAGTCCCTCCTGCACCAATGCTTGCCTTTCCTTGATGTTCTTCATTCAAGCCTCAGCGCCCCCAAATCCACATTGCCAGCCTCCGTGTGCAGACCAGTCCCTGACCACCTGTCCCTGACTGGACTTGCTCGGCACACAAGAAGGAGGCTGAGAATCTGGATCGGAGGGCTCAGTTCTCCAGGGTGCTGAGTTCGGCTTCCCTGGGTGGGCCCTGCTGAGGCCTAGCAGATATCAGCCCTGAACAAGTCATCACCAATCCTTTCAGCATCTATGGTCTTTTGTTTTTGTTTTTTCGGTGCTGGGAATTGAGCCCTTGGCTAGGCAAGACTTCTACCCCTGAACTACAGCCCTAACCCCCAACATCTGTGGGTTGGGTATCCCCACCCCTACCTTGGGCTCAGACAGGCTGACCTGCTTGTGGATGTCACAGGACTCCATGTGGCTATAAAGGGATCAGAATCTGCAGCAAGCTTCATGGTGCATATGAGGCACAGACTTGGAGAATCTGCATCAGTGTTCCAGAGATTTGGATTTTTATGGTGAGGCAGACGGGACTGGTGGCCTGCCAGCAGGGTTTGGATTTCTTAGAGGCCACAGAGCAGTTAAAATAACAAATCTCACCATCCTCAGAGCTCTGTAATGTCCCTATTCTTGGTGCTGCAGCATGGAAATGAGATTTAAACCGGGGAACAGAAAAGTAAGAAAAGGAGGAGCGGGTGAAGGGACATTTGGCTGCATCTCTAAGCCACATATTGGTCAGGCCTTTCCCTGTAATACAGCCTCTGTTTCTACCACCGCCTGGCTTGTCTATGTAGTTCTTAACTGTCTGAGAATCTACCTGGCTTCTTTCAAACTCAAAAAGAATTGAAAACAACTCGGAAACAGCCCATTTGCCCATCAGTTGGAAACTGGATAAAGAAGATGTGGTTTTCCTATCAAATCGAATACTACTCAGCCACAAAGAATGAGCCATTCATAGGAAAATGGATACATATTGAGGATATACTCCTAAGTGAAATAAGTTACACATGTGTAAATACTGAATAGTTTCTCTGGTGTGAAAGACTATAATAGTACTCAAGATCCTAATGGGATAATTAACAATGTGAAATAGGAAGAAAAGGGCTAAAGGTGTCAGGAAAGTGGGAAGGGTAGGGGAATAAGGGAAAAGAAAAAAAATGTGAGAAAATGAAAAAAATGGAATTAAAGTATTTGTAAATGGGGAGGGGAGGAGGGGGTGAAGGGAGGGCAGGGACGAGGGGAAAAAATGAGAACCAAGACCTGTCATGTAGAGGTACAAGATCCCAGTAATGAATGTAACTGTACTGTATACCTAAAATGTACCAATAAACTCAATAAAAAAAAAAAAGAATTGAAAACAGAGTGAAACATGGTGGCACATGCCTGGAATCCCCTCACTCTGGGAGGCTGAGGCAGGAAGACTGTAAGCTAGAGCCCAGCCTGTCAATCTCAAAAAAAAAGAGAAGAGAAGGAAGAAAAGAAAAGAGAAGAAAAGACTGGGGATACAGCTCAGCGAAAAGGCCCTGGGTTCAATCCCTGGCACCAAAAACAACAACAACAACAAAAAACCCCACAGAGCAGATGGTCAAAGCACACTGTTTATAGCTATAGATATCATGAAACTTTCCCCTTTATCCCACATGATTTAATCTGAACACTAATGTAGACACTAGCACAAAGAGGGCATTCAATAAACACCCACTGGTATTACTAGTAAAATAATGCCTTGCTCCTGCTGCATCCACAGTGGCTCCCACCGCCCTTCAGGTAAGGTGCATCCAGTGTCCACGGAGAGGGTGCGAGCAGGTGTGAATCTGAGTCAGAGTCCTGCCCAGTGCACAGACGCCACAGGGAGGCAATGGAGAAACCTGCTCTGCACCCACAGGGGTGAGAGGGTCTGATTACTGTTATCACTTAGAATTAAAAAACAAAAACCAGTACACCCCCCAGCTGGGAGCAATGTGCTAAAAAAGGGTTCTCAGCTGTAAACCCTTAGTATTGAGGGACCAGCAGCAAGCAAGCTGATTTTAAGAACCTTCCAGAAAAATCTACCCTCTAATTCACACCTTCCTACTCCTCTCCGTTCTGTGTGTGTGTGTGTGTGTGTGTGTGTGTGTGTGTACACTGAAGATCAAATCAAAGGCGTCATGCTTCCTAGGAAGAGCTCTACTATTGAGCTACCTTCCCAGCCTCCTTTTTCAGTCTTCTTAAAGGCAAGAAGGATGCTCCTTGGGGAAAAAAATGCTTCACCCACCAGCAAAATCAGAGATGTAGCTTAAGCAACTCTAGCTGGGTCCACAGAGAACACGGGGTGGCTGGGATGCCACCAGGAAAGCCAGGCTGCCCCACAGACCGCACTCGACAGGACAGCCTCTCTTTGCACTATTTTGCCACCACTTGTGCCTCAGAAGGGGCAGAAGTGTGCTGGGATGATAGGCAGCAGGGGAGAGCTGGGAGTGGAAGCAGTCAGACACCAAGGCCACAAGATGTGAGGGAAGAGGGATTGTGGGTGGTAGATTGGTGGGATTTAGATCTGCTCGCAGGGCCACTGCAGCCTGCACACTCCCTCACTTACCCCCTCGCCCTGAGCAGAGGCAGCTCAGCCAGGACACCTCGATCTCTGATCTCTGCCGCCAGGGCCTGTGCAGGGAGGCTGGGCAGCAGCGAGAGGGATTTTTCACTGATGCATGCGGGCTGGCCAGGCCACCAAGGAAACATGAGAGCAAGTGGCCAAGCAACAGGCGTATTTAAGAATCTCCTGTGTATCCAGAATAGCCATGACAATCTTGAAAACAACACAAAACAAATTTGGGGACTCATTTCCTGAATGCAAAACTTATCTCAAAGCAGTGTAGGTTTTTTGTGTGAATGTTTTACAGTGCTCCAGCATACCATGCACACACACTACTGAAAAGCTACATCCCAGCCCGACAATGTGCAGCCTGAGGGCTGATGCAGACCAACAGGAGAGAGGAGATGGGCCTACAGATTGGTGCTGGGGACTGAACCAAGGGCCTCCCACTTAGCAAGTGCTCTGAACTACACTCCCAGCCCTCAACTAAGTTTTGACAAGGGTGCCAAAACAATGGGTAGGTGTCTTTTTAATCAGTTGTTGGGACATGCAGATAGACATGTACAAATAATGAAGCTGGATTCCTACTGAGCATCATACATAAGAATTAACTCAATATATCAAACTCCTAAAAGTAAGACTTAAACCTGTTAGACTTACAAGAGAAAAACAGGAATACATCTGAATGAACCTGGATTGGGCAACTGTTTCTTAGATGTGACACCAAGAACACAAGCAACCAAAGAAAAATTTGGACTTCAACACAACTGAAAACATTTGTTTCAGAGAATAAGCTTTTTTTTTTTTTAGTTCTTTTTTGGAGATAGGGTCTCGCCATGTAGGCTGGCCTTGAATTCACTATGTAGCGCAGGCTGACCTTGAACTCACAGCAAGCCTCCTGCCTCAGCCTCTCAAGTGCTGGGATTACAAGTGTGTGCTACCATGTGTGGCTTTGTGCTTCAGAGAACAGCATCAAGGTACCAGGACAACTCACAGAAGAGGAGAGAATATTTGCAAATTTTCTATCTGATAAGAAACCTATCTAGAATACATAAAGCACCTTAAAACTTAATAACAAGCCCAACTGCCAGGTGTGATAGTGCACACCTGTAATCCCAGCACTTGGGAGGCTGAGGCAGGAGGATTGCTGTGAGTTTGAGCAGAGAACAGCATCAAGGTACCAGGACAACTCACAGAAGAGGAGAGAATATTTGCAAATTTTCTATCTGATAAGAAACCTATCTAGAATACATAAAGCACCTTAAAACTTAATAACAAGCCCAACTGCCAGGTGTGATAGTGCACACCTGTAATCCCAGCACTTGGGAGGCTGAGGCAGGAGGATTGCTGTGAGTTTGAGACCAGCCTGGACTACATAGTTCCAGGTCAGTCTCAACTACATAGTGAGACCCTGTCTCAAAAAAAGCCCCCAAAACAAAAACAAGCCCAATAAATGTACAAAGGATATAACTAAACACTTCTCTAGAAAAGATATATAAATGACCAACAAACTTT